GTTACATATATGATTCAGAGACAGCCTCATGCCTTATTTTGTTTTATTAAGTATCAATGGTTTTTAGTTCGAGGTGACCTAAGGCCAATTTTCCTCTTTCAGTAAATTGTCACAATCGGATCACAATGACTGTAAACGTTTCCTTGTCCAAATTCTCTTACAGATATAGTGATTGCAATAAAAGTGTTTCTTTAAAAAAATTGATGTCTCGTGTCTTTTACCTTGCTCGCAGTTTATTCCTTGGTACCCAGGCTTGCAGAGGCATTTATAGCCACCATTCTGGTTAACACATGTCGCCCCATTTTTACAAGGCCTGCTTGTTCTACAAGGATCTGGTAAACAAAAGGAGTGCATTTACTTCCGGTTTTATTCTATGACATGGAACGACTAAAGATGACTTCAATCAAAATTTAATGACGAGCTATGATTTGCTTCTTATGACGTTGCTGCTCACAGGATGCGTACCCCGTTTGTGTCAAATAAAAGGTCAAACTTGCAAAATTACTCTAGAAACAATGTTCTATAGTTAAGTTACCATTTCTAAGTATAAGAATAGAGCTATACATGACTCACCAAAACCGGCATTCCCGCAATACCGCAGCCAACATACAGGAGTCCGGGCCAACTTGTACACGTAGAACCCGTTGCACCTCTTTATCCGAATGTAGGCATTCCAGTTGCAGCAATTGGAACCCCAGTGGAAACAAACCTTACGGTTGACAACTTCACCAACTCTTGTCGGATGTGAACCCGCTAACCAGCCCGGTGCATGAGTTCCGCAGTAATGTTTCGCAACACATGACGTGGGCATCTGGGTGCCAGCTGCTCCGGTAAACCTGTACCATTTGGGTGTTACAAGGTCCCTTTGGTCACACTTAAGGATGTTACCCCTGTGAACTCCAGCAGCTCGCTGTCTGTCACTGAGAACTTGGTAGTGCCTGCATTCATCATACGCTTGTGGTTGGGAAAATTTATCAGAAAATAAGATTTGCAGGAAAGGTCTGTTTCGACATTGATTACCTTCGCGAGGGTCGCAAATAAACTATAAGCTTTTAAAATATATCTAGAAAAGATTCAGTATGAAATTTTGGCTAATCGCTAAAAAATTTATATAAGAAACACACTTTGCACAAGATTCGCAAAATCAACTAACCGATCTCGCAGTGATTCCCTAAAAATCCTGGTTTGCACTTGCATCTGTAACTTCCTGGTAAGTTCTCACAGGTTCCACCGTTACGGCAGGGTCTGGTGTTGCATTCGTTTACATCTGTATGATAGAAAAAAAGCTTTGCTATTTTTACCATTGCAATTGTTTTTTAAAAACACTGTTCGCCTGACATTTCTCAAGTACAGTGAGACTATCTAATAATTTATACAAATTGTTGGCAGTAATCTCCTGCTAATTTTCTCTTTGATCTTGTTTAAAATTTGACTGTGCGTGTTGTATAATAGTGTTACAGACGTGATGGCGTAAGCGACTTCATCATAGCCTTACTCCCCCACGAAATATATATGCTAATGTTTTTCTTTCCTATTGAGCTAGCGCCTACTGTAGAAGACATCTACAGACAAGCATGTGTTCAAAGGGACGAATTGCGCAACACACACCTTCCAGTACCAAGCACGAGGAGTTTCGTGTTTCACTTCGCGTCAGTTTTCACTTTGAGCGCTTACCAGAGATTGTGTATTGTTTCGTTTTTCTTTCCACCCACCCACCCTCCCACCACGGGGGATTTTGTGTGATGTCAGAGTGTCAGAGAAGTCTATTAGACATATCATTGGCTTTTGTTTATTGTTGGTTCGTATTCTTAATAAACTTCTCTCTGTGCCAAAAAAGGGAATTGTGTTTTATTTGTGTCCGAAGGCGTAGTTGGGAATTTAATATTATAATGGTTTGCTCTAGTGAAGGTAAATATCCCTCGGGGGTTTTCGAACTTGATTGCAATTTATTTAAGGTTTTACCGTGCTCGCAGTTGACACCATGATATCCTGACTTGCAGTTGCATGTGTACCCACCATTTTTGGGAGCACATGTGGCACCATGCTTACAAGGATTGCTTACCTTGCATACATCTAGTTAAAGAGAAAATGTGAGTGCTAGGTCAATTACAAGACATTTATACTTCTCCATGCAAGTCTTACAAACTTGTATAAGAAGTACTTGATATTGTAGTTTTTGTGTTCTTTCCTTACTGTTTCATAGTTCTCCGTCTGGACTATAGATGAGTTGGAAGATTTGATGAAGACGACGTGCAGAAAATAAACTTGAAAAGTTCTATTTTAAATATTCCGCCTTTGACTCACCGAATCCTGCATTTCCACAGTAGCGAAGCCAACAGACAGGGGTCTTGTGAAGTTTGTAAACGTAAAACCCGTTACATTTTTTGATCTGGATATTAGTGTTCCAATTGCAGCAACTTCCTCCCCAGTGAAAACAGACTCTGGCGTTGACAATTTGCCCCACACTTGTTGGGTGAGCTCCACTCAACCAACCCGGAGCATGCGTTCCACAGTAATGCTTAGGAACACAGGAGGTGGCCATCATTTGTCCTGATGCTCCAGTGAATCTGTACCACTTTGGATCCCCGGGCATGTCATATTGGTCACATTTAAGGATATTTCCCCGAGGAACACTAGCAGCTCTGGTTCTATCGTTTAACTGTAAGTAGTTAGTGCAGCCATCGTCTCCTGAAGAAGAGTATAAACGCCATTTAAAGGTAAAAATATATTTAGAATGTTCAATGATTTTATTCTTACAATTGGCCGAGGAAGACATCGCCGCGCAGTGTGCTTATGGGCCCTACCAGGAAATTGGAGAAACACGAGCACCAGAAATATTTTTAGCATGTTATTTCGTTTTAAGATAACAACCATTCGTCAGCATGGTCAGTAAAATGAACGGGAAACAGCAAAGACATCCACTTTGTGGCCTCGACGATAAATTCTCTTACTCGAACTTGATTGCGATTGGTATACTCACGATTGACCTTTCAGAATTAGATGAAATGTCCACGATTTTCTTTGTTTCATAATCACTATGATTGCATTATTTTCCAGCCACGTTTGTGACTAAGTAATAACATCCTTTCTCGCAATATATTTAGGGGCCATTATGATTTTGAGCATTCGGTATGCAAGAAGGTTTGGAAAAATATAATTTTCAAACCTTTCAAAAGTGCAACTGGATTTGAACTTTTCGCGTTGTATATAACGACCAACTAGGTGTATCTATATGTATCATAATAATAAATCGTTCTTGCTGTTTAAAAATGGCTAATCAATTATTTGAAATGTAGCATAGTAGGTTGCTTTAGCTTAAACTGGATGTAACTCACCAAAGCCTCCATTCCCACAAAAGCGAAGGTAACAACATGGTGTTCTGCCAAGCTTATAAATGTAGAAGCCATTGCATTTCTTTATCATGATATTTGCCGACCACCGGCAGCAGTTTCCGGACCAGTGAAAGCATGCTTTGCCATTGATGATTTGCCCAGTTCTAGTTGGATGTGATGTGCTGAGCCATCCAGGTGCATGGGTTCCACAACGGTTAATGGGCACACACTTTGTCGGCATCTGCGTGCCAGCCGCTCCAGTAAAACGATACCATCTGGCGGTTGGAATATCTCGCTGATCGCACCTAAGGACATTGCCCCTTGCGAGACCAGCAGCCCTAGTCCTGTCATTAATCACTTGATAACTATGGCAGTAATCATGTCCTGTCATCGCAACGATTATCAGAAAAAATTAGATAGGAATCATGCAAGGAAGAAGAAATGAAAAAAAAAATAGAACCTTTCTTTGTTCATGGCACTGAACAACCTAGGTAAATAAAACGTAGAACACAATAAAAAAGACCTCGCCAGTTCTTATCATTTCATGAAGGTTTTTAAAGAGTCACTAAAAATTCAGACCGTCCAAGGCACAGATAGGTACTCAAAATGGTTAAGCAATAGACTGAGTCAGCTTCATTCATTACGGCTCAGAAAAGCCGGCTTAGTAAAGTGTTCAAAACTTATTGTTTGTCATAATTTGCCGAAATTTCCATAAACGCCCGAGTTCAACAATGACTACATCAAAGCACTGAAATTTCGGTTTAATTTTAGTTTAGGAAATTTTTGATTCTCGAAACTATCTTAATATGGAGGTCAAAACGTTTTCTCTAATAAGCAAATAGTTATAATTGCCTTCAAATTAGTAAGTCTAAATGTTGTAAATAGTTTTCTGTCATCTTAAAGATGTTGATTAAATCATATCTTCATCACGGTTTAAGGAATTAGGTCACCATCATTTCAAATGATTGATGAAACAATGAATAAAATATAAAACAAAGAAAAAAAATCCCTTTTTTCTGATAATCATCAAACCTCATTCAGGTAATTAAATAGAAGAGAAACGTTTACTAACCGTGGGTTGTTTCGTATATCCTGAAAGTTGAGTTAAGACAAACAATTAATCTTTTCGATATTAAAAACCAGTTTAAGTAAACGGAATAAAATGCTCAGTGATTTCTAAACAGGGCGTCTCAACAATTAGGATACAGGAAAGTTTGTATGGGAATATCAACTAACAAATTAGAGGGAAAATCATTTATAAAAACTATTTTGTTATTAACTAAGTGCAAGAACATTGTCAAAAATTACGCTGTACTTACGTTGATGATACTACGAGAGTTATCATCCATTTAATAATTCTAAAATCCATCTTCAGAATCGACTGCCACTTCTGGAAGGGAAAAAATTTCACTGGAAATCAATTTAGTTTAAAACTAAACAGCTTCGTAAAAGCGCTATTCCAGAAAACGGAGTCCTCGTTATTAGTATTAAACAGTTGCCATTTATTCATTTTGCTGTGATCAGTAAACTTATCTCACTTGTGAACCTGATAAGGATACTACCAATCATTAAAAGTATGACACAAATAGTGAGAAAATCCTCCTTCACGCTAATATTGTGTAACGTTTCCCTGATAATCGGCTGAACACTATTATCAAGAACAGATCCACTGCATGTAGCAGATTACAGTGCCTCACAGTGAGTCCACGTGGCAATCATAGGACGCCACGTTGCTTTTGCTTTTAGTTTTTTTCCTTTCTTTTTTTTTGATGAGGCAAATGGTATAATTTTGTTATCTATTGGAGAATATCTTTTGGCTCAAGCTGGAAAACGGCGACTTTCCTCTCGCAGTTTTAAACCATTTTCTAACCGTCCCTAACGTTTTCCTTTTTCATCATTTTTTTCCAGAATTAAAAAAGGAAATGGTGAATTGACTAACATATCATTTCCTTATTTATCCATCTTTTGGAAATCGGCAGGTTCTCGTCATCCACGAACTTTACAAAGAAAGAACTTAAACACACTCACCAGCAGAGAGTCCAGAGGTGCCAGAAGATTGACCGTTGAAGAGAAAAGCAATCTTAAGTTCTGATGCGCACTTATAAATTGACAAAGAACTACAAATATTAGTCTTTTTCGTGGAACTATTCAGAATCAGTTATTTCTGATTTAATTAAAAAATGATTTAGTTAAATACTGTTTTAAGTAAAGCTAGTGACAGATATTTAGAGAACTTATTTTAAATTAGACATACTCAAATCTTGCAGGGTTTGAAACCAAATGGTTAAATAAGGTCGAAGTAGGGTTGGAAAAGTGTTTCTTATGTTTTTTTTTTTCGTTTTGGCCGTCATAAGTTAAAGTGTATGAGATGATTTTTTTATGATGCAAAGTGGGTGGAAATAAATCCATCTAATTTATCTTATTTAATTTAACTAGTTTGAATAATGACATTTTAGAATTGTGTAAATATCATAGAGCAAGTCGATAAACAAGAAAAATGATCCAAGGAGAAGCTGAAAACTTCTGATATTAGAAATAAAGGACAAGGAAAACTAAAAAAAGAAAGAAGGCAAACTATCTCTCGATATGTTGCAAATGGGACTCTCTCAAAATCGTTTCCCTATCGCCTCTACTGAAGTTGAAAGGTATAAGCGAAAACTTTCAGCGTGTTGGCGCCCTGTTGCATTAATGGATTCACTACCTCCCGAGTGAAATAAATGCTTCAAAAATGGTAAAATGGGTGATTCTTTATCAGCTTTGATAAAACCTTCAATTCAAACGGATAACTTAAAGGTCATCACTGGATAAGCAGACTTTCTCCTTTTTTGTTGTTATCACTATGCTCATTAAGAACTAGCCTCTGTAAGAGTCAAACCTCTCGGGAAATGAAAGTTTTAAACCCCTATTCAAATTTTGCAAGCGGTTAAGCACTCAGGGAGGTTGCAGCACTCTTGTTTCCTTGATAACTAGGGCTGCTTATTCGCGGCCTGTGGCCTTTTTTCACACAAAAACATCGCTAAAAAAATCTCAAGCTCAATACAACATTAAAAAATTCTTACTTCTACCATATATAGTGGCATTACTCATCTTTACTATGCTCCATTTTTGCTGAGAATGAATGCGAACACTCTCATCCATTATTTATCTCGGTACAGTTTCGGTCACTTTTAATGAAGGGTAAAACAGGGAAAATCTTTATCTGAATTTCTTCGAATTTTAACTTGTTGCAAATGACAAGCAGCTGTGTATCCTCGGAGGATTTTCTCAAATTCCTCTGACAGAGGAGCAGCATTCGGTATGTGGATGATATGCACGCAATTTGCGTCGAGTAGTTCTCCGTGAGAGCTGATCAGTTAGTTTTTAAAAGATGGTTGTCAGAAACGATAATTCTCTTCGGGATATTACTCAGAACATTTTTCAAAGCCATGCAGCTTTCATTTGTCGGAAACTTTTGTTAATGAGAAAATGTAAGATGTAAACGCCGCGAAAACATGCAATATCTGATTTTCAGCTTTGCTTGCAAATTGTCCCTATAAAAAGTGGAGACCAGCCCGCAGAGAATTTTGCTTTTGGAGAAATTTGAATAAAAGATTTTCCTTGTTTTACCCAAAAGTGAAGCACTGGACTTCGCCAAATTTGTATCCTTTGTCACTTTCAGTCGATTATAATTTTCTTCTGGCTCAATCCTTGAGACAAATCTTAAATATTTCAGGATAATATTATAGTCTTTCAGTATTTCGCAGAAATAGGCTTTAAATTATTGGGTTTTGAATGGGTATAAGTGTCGACGGCGTAGGAAAACGACTAAATTGCTGTTGTCATTCGACGCAGAAAACAACATCTTCAGGAAAAACAGTTGATTCGAGAAGCAAAACAGAAATTGAAGGGACTGTTAAAAACGAAAACAAAGCAAAGACAAAAACAGAAAAATTAATCTTGGGGAGTCGCTAACAATATGAAATATCTCAAGAAAATGATTCACACAGAGATGTTTTGTTTGAAGCAACTCCCATCTACGGGTGACTTTCAGCTGTGAATAAAATGCAATGGTTGATTGTTTGTTTTCGGCGCCTCCTTCCCTAAATCACAAATATGAAAGTTGTTATTATGATGAGCTACAAAAATTGATGTGAATGTCATTTTTATTTTTTTTTCAGGCCATCCATCCATTTCTAACCTCTCATAGTGCATGGATAGTTCATATTCCCCAAGAATGAATACTCTTTCAGATGGGGTAAGTCATTCAATATCTATATTGGAAAAAAATTATTCGTGATTCTCCTAAATTGTAATTTTATCTAAAACAAAAAAACTTTTTCTTTCATTCCTTCAAAACAATAGACAGCATCTAATCACTGGCTCGGCATTATAGATTCAGCTGGTGAATTGACTTTCAATAAGATTTCATCAATTGTTGTCGCCTTGACAGAAAATAAAAAGCAAACGTATTTTTAAATGACAGGCCAGGCATTTGAATTAAAAAAAAATTATAAATCATTAATGGACTCAAAGTAAATTTAAAACGTTTTGGAAGAAACATAGAGGTTATTACTGTAAAAAAAGCGGACTATGCCACGCGTGTTACGTCAGTAAAGTCGCTCCAGCAAGAAATCAACGAGGTAAGATTTAAAAAGAAACATCCTTAATAATTCAATAACTTAATTCAACTCAAGCAATGGGAAGTTATTGCTTTCCACACTTGCTAGCACTCTAAAGTGTATTGGTATAACTGATTACTTTATTCGGCGAAAAAGCCATTTTCTTTTTTGGGAACTCTCACGCTCAAGTAGAGAATTCTCGTTTTGTTAATTTGTTCTAGCAAAGTCAAAATACAAAATTCGCACAAATTACATCACAATTTAACCCATATAAAGTTTCTTAAGGCAAAAATTTGTTCACCATCGATTACAAAAGTTAAAATACTAATGAATAATTGATGTGACTCTGAAACGGCTTGCACACCCAACTGTTTCAAGGTTTGCAGTAGCTTACTAACTAATATACGGGTATCTAACATTAGTATATACCACACAGGTGAATAATATTTTTCGAGTGTGCTGTTGGGAAGTCATTACCAAATACTATTCACCACCGAGCAGCCGAAGAGACACAAACGGGCGATAGGAATTTAACTTTCGTCCACATGTTAGTTTATTGACAAAAAAAAATAAGAAATGTTTCTGGTTTACTGTGTGATATGTACTGAAAGTAGTATTGATCATGGATTAATCTTGACTTAACAAAATCCGGTGCATATTTAAACCTACGAACATCGAATGGCGTCGTTTCTCATAGAGTTCTAAAGCCGTTACGTCACGTTACCATGGGAGCAGAATTTTCTGTTCTAAACAAACGTGCTCAGAGCCAAAATGGCGTCGCTTTCAATCGCTGCACTGATATCTTTCTTCGCTGAAGAAAAGAAGTCAATCGAACGAGGAGAAAATCATTACAGATCTGAACACATTGAGTCATTTTCTTACCATCAGGGTATTTTACGCGGTGAGGTTCAAGCAAGTATGAAGAAAAAGGTCTATCGAGTCACGGTGAGTTTAGAGCGACCAATCGCATTAAGAAGCCTAAGGAATATTTTTAAATATCTTTTAAGTACCTTCTTGTTATCTACTCCCCCAATTTAGAAATATATATTTTCGATCTTGTCGATTTCCCTCATCAAAAAAGCCAGGCTGAGGCTTAAATCGTACAGATTATGATTCATATGAAATAGTGTTACCAAGACATTTATGAGTTCACCTTGTTTGAACTTTTATCTTAATTACCACTTAGATTTACCTGGATGACCACTTCAACATAAAATCCACGGAGTGTGAATGTCCAAAGGGAAAATTCAAATGCAGTCACGCGGCGGCTCTTTTTATAAATGGGATTCACAACTTAAGCCGCACAGATATTGAATGTCAGTGGAGGAAAAAGAAGTCTAATACCTCCCTGTCTTTACAGGCAGTCGAAGAACTGTTCCCTCTGCCAAAGAATTATGTGGCGATTACTCGATCTCCCAACACAGAAGATCGTCAGGCACTATATGGAAGCTTAAAGGCATATGGGAGGTTCACTGGTCTTTGCTGGCTCATGTGCCCAGAGCCTGCTCCCCAAGCCAAATTGCCTGTGCCAACAATTGAGGAAATCATCTACTCAGAGGAGTTTATCCAAACAAGAGGTACACAGCAACAATTGGACTGTTTGGTTCGGAAAGCCAAACTCACAGAAGCAGATATCCTGTTAGTCAGTCAGATAACTGTAGGCCAACGAGACAACCCAACCTGGCATCTTGCAAGGAGGGGACGGCTTACAGCAAGCAATTTTGGATCCGTTCTGCATGCCAAAAGAGTGACCCCTTCACTTCTCAAACGGCTCCTTGGAGAGTATGACATATCAAGAGTTAAGGCAGTACAATGGGGGGTAAACAACGAGGCAGAAGCGATTAAGGCATTTACCAATTTAACTGCAAAAACTGTACAGGAAACTGGGTTATGGCTGGATGGCTCTGGGATTCTTGGTGCTTCCCCAGATGGAATTGTGGATGAAGACTCTGTTTTGGAGGTCAAGTGTCCCTACACCGAAAGGAATATGACAATGGAAGAGGCAGTGAATATCTCCC